TATATATATGTATGTATATATGTATATATATATGTATGTACATATATGTATATGTATATATATGTATATATATATATATGTATGTATGTATATGTATGTATATATATATATATATATGTGTATGTATATATATATGTTTGTGTATATAAATGATTTAACCAGACTTTCACACAAAATGATATCTAACAGAGACACCATGCTTACTCTGACGTGAAAAAATGTAAGATATCACCTCTGAGACAGGAGAAAAAAACACCCACTAAAGTACGTTTATCACAATAACAAAATGATAAGGTTTTCTCAGCTGCTTTTCTTTTTTTCTGCATTTCTAACTGCAGAATTAAACTTTGCACAAGAGTTAGTGCAACCTTCACAACATTTAGCTTTTTGGGCGCAACCTAGTGTTTCCTGTTCATGTTTGCACATGAAGAAGTCGATTGAATACAGGTAACTGCAAAATGATGACGTCCACCTTCACTATTAACTTGCTTTTATCAGGTCTGTCGAAAACAAACTATACTTATAGAGGCTGAATAGTCAATTTTTACACAACAAATTTCAACATCTTCATTTCATTGCATCACTGGACACAAAACTGTTGAACATTTTGTACGTCGATATTGAAAATATTCTTATAGTGTTTATCTGAAAATGTCCGTGAATACATTTTCTCAAATTAACCTTTTATTATACTGATAAAAAGAGGTGTGTGAACTCTTATTTGCAACTACTGACAAGCCTCTTCTTAACCTTGACTCACCAATTCATTCATCAACCCCAACTTTTACAGTTACGCATAAACCAACAGAGAGAATCAGAACGAGGTGCATAACGTATCTACAGAATGGAAATACATAGAAGGTTGTTCTTGTTGAAGAGGGGCGAAGATGCTTGGAGGTGACATAGTCATGATTAAATCCAAGCAACACTTATGGATCATTTAGTAAACCATGGCCTGATAATGGATGAGTTCAGACATTTCATCGCAAGAACAGGAGGTTATTATTGTTTATGTAACGCATAAAAATATGATCTGCACTATCATAGTCATACAAGGCACTTACATTGGGACATAACCTTGTAACCTTTAACATGTAGACCTACAAATTACAATAACTGCTGCTCAGATTCGGTGTGGCAGAGTGTACAATATTGTAATAGTAAAGAAAAGTGCATTGTATTACAGTACTGCCAAAATGTTGCATGTTTACCTTTTTTTCTGCACCTCAAATCAGGTAAAAAAAAAAAACAGATGAGGTGAAAGAGCCCCCGCCCTCTGACTCAGCAGGGAGAGGAAAGCATTTGTGCAACTGTGCTTGCAAACATTGCACAAAGACTGTGAGATATAGAAAGAGCTGGTGAGGGTCATTTTATAAGCCATGAACTTTTTACACTTGACCGAGTCCTCAGATGGAAAAAAATGTACATAAAACAATTGCATAATGTACCGCTTAGCAAATAGTAAGCAAGTAAAAGGGCTCAGTCACCAGTTTGCAGGTAAAACTTGTACACATGCTTTCCACTGTTTAGTGCTTTACTGTACTTTTGTTTTGCTATGCACTTCACATCATTACAGTTTCACACATGTAACAATCACTATATTTACATTGCATACTGTATAGTTGTTCTTGAGTGAAAGGGAGGAGTCTGGTGACCATCTGACAGAGTATTTAGTAGTTTGGAAAATGTACGCTTCCACCACTCTGCTGTGGTCTGGGAGTGGTTTGCAGCACATGGCAGGATGTTGTGGAGTATCTCCCTCAACACTTTCCATTCCTAAATCCAACTGAGGAGTTTTTCCTCTTCCTGGAGGTGAGACGTATACATCCACATAACCAAATGACCCTGATAGCAGCCATGGATGCAGCATCACAGAGTCCTGCAGGGGGTGGATATGGCACTCATAAGATATTTTCCTCGTACGTTTCATTTTTACTTAAGTAAAGATATGAATAAATACCACTGTTCGTAACTTAATCTAATGACAGAAAGCTTGTTTCACCTGAGAGACACACACTTTGTTCTTTTTTTGCTCTCAAGGTTTATTGGTTAAATTAGATTTTCCACCTGCCTAGTCTGCTGATACATATATATATATATATATATATATACATATATATTTATATGGTGTAATTACTGTATGTTATGTTTTTTATGTTATTTGAAACAAAAGAATAATAGACAACTTATGCTTGAGTAACTGTTTGCTCTATAATGTAGGCAAACCAGTCTTCTTGATCAATTCATGACGTCATTTACTTGTAGTGTGTATCGTTTTGTTTGTTATTAAGATTAATTTACAACAGTTCAACAAGGTTTTTTGATTTTCAAGTGCGAGTTACAGCTTAAATGTAATGTGGAACGTATGTAAACAGATCAACACCACCACCATGTGGTAAATTCTGGGTATTGCACAGTAGGCTAGAGCAAATGCAATGAAACGGTTAAGGAATCCAGATTTGCTCAATATTTCTGCATCAGCCCTACAGAGCAGATGCATCCGAAGGTTAGGGTGTGGATACTAGTTCTCCTTCCTCTGCATTAGCAACTTTTAAAATGCACAAAACCAAATAAATAGGCAGCTGAAAGTCACTGACTTCTTTTTATTTGCATAGTTTTAAAATTGTCATTTTGTGACGTAGCCTACAGTCTCTGGACCATCCTGCAGATTAAGGTGGGGCTGCTTTTTTATGCATGTGACTGATTATTTTATAATGCATTCCTCCTATATTATGTCAGGTTTAATATTTAACAACTTTCAATTAAGCACTTTAAAATAAAAATGCTTTGTCACATTTTGCCTAGTTATATGGTAACGGGACACAAAGTAGAGCATCATTTTGGTGAGAAAAGAAAATTCAACATGTTTTTCAATATTTTGTATAAATACAATTCTAAAAATGCGCTTTTATTTAGCCCCCCTCAGCAAATAACAGCAATCTGCAAGAAATTACCTCAACTGAAAGTCGTCTTGAGCAGAAAATTAGCCAGAAATGCAGCCAAGAGGCCCTTGGCAACTCTGGAGGAGCTGCACTGATCCACAGTCAGAGAAACATTACTGAAAGAAAATCCTTTTACAAACCTAGCCTTCATTAAAGGGTGGAAAGGGGAAAGCTGTATTCCTGTTTAAAGTGTGACATACTGAGACCAATGCAAACAGGTATAATTTGGCTGAAACCTAAAATACAACATAAATACAGTATGTAGGTGGCAGCATGAAGATGCAGGGAAGCTTTTTTCTTCAGCAATGAAGCTGGTCAGAGTAGAGTGATAAATATATCAGGAAAACCTGTTATAGCCAACAGAGGTCATAGGAAATCCAAACCAAACACAAACAGAATGTCGAAAAACATACAAAATGCAAATGGAAGCAAATAGCTTCAAACAAAAAAAAGAAAAAAGTAAGAATGAAATATATTTATACAAAGTCTGAATGAAAAAAAAATAGAATAAAACATTAGGATAGAGTGTAAAGTAAGAAAACAAGCAACATTACATATAGATTAGTGCATAACATAGTCGGATGTCTTAAACCCAAAAGCCATACCGGATAAAAAAAAAAAACAACAACTAGTCATTTGCATAAAAAAATGGAAACACTGCAAAAATATTAGCATGAATGTAAAAACACTTACTTAGTTTGATCTCTCTACTACAGCAGACAATAACCAACAGGGATATTCTTTGCTACATCCCTTCTGTCTCTTTCCAAAAGCAAACCATAGGACAGAGCTGGCCCTTCTAAAGAGTACGTTCAGCCTCTGCTGTCGATAAACTGCTGCTTCACCATCTGCACCTGTAAAGCACATCAGTGTTTTCGCTTCAGTCCAATTTACGGTTACCTTTGTCAGCACAGTCGATTGATTTATTGGACTAGTTCAATGTTATTTGTTCAGTATACAGAGGTTTTTGTAGCAATCCATCTAAATGTTAAGAATCTCAATGTTTGGAAATACTTTTGCAAGGCTCTGTAAAAAAAAAATGCACATCCACTACAAAAATGATCTAGAGAAATATTAAATTAATTGTATTTACCCTTAATTTGAGTAGGTGAATAAGATGATTTGCCAATGGAATAAGCATTTTTACTCTTATAATAAAGTAATTAGATAATATGCTGAAATAAGACAAAGTAATTGTTTTTTATTGATTTAAATGTAAATTGTCTTGTTCTTCATTGGCAAAGTGTCTCACTTGCTTGCTCCATAAAAAATGCACTTATTTTAATAAAAAAAAAATACTTATTTAGATTTCCATTTTTTGCAGTGTATGAGCAGTTTAAATGGCACAGAAATGTTTGACTCTCAACAGAGAATCTTTTAACAGTAATAAAGCTGGGATCTAACTGTTATTTCTGGTCAAAGGAAGATAATTATGCCAGACTCCTTGGACACTCTGCACTTCACTCTGCCCAGCCATGGGGACTCTGTCCTGAACAAAATGAGAACTCTGAGAGAACAGCATCGCTTCTGTGATATCACACTCATCCTCAGGAGCCCAGATTCCTCTGCTGGTCTGTCTGTGCACTTCCACGGCCACAGGGTGGTACTTGCAGCATCCTCTGACTTCCTCCGTGATCAGTTCCTACTCCATGAGGACCAGGGAGAGATGATAGTGGCTGCAGTTCCCAGTGTGAGAGTCGCCAAGAGGCTCCTGCTGTCCTGCTACACTGGACTCCTTGAGGTGATGTAACAAGGAAGCAATATTAGCAGTAATAACCTGAAGGAAGCCTTTTCTGTGTGACTTTAACACTGTCACAGTGGTGTAATGGAACGTTCTCACTTCAGATTAGCTCAGTTTCCCAGAGGGGGGAACTGGTAGAAATGAATATAATAAATGATCCATTTTTAGATGCATTTTTACTTAAAGATGCATTTATTGCAATGTTAAATTTTGTTGGACAGTAAAATAAACAGTTAAATAGAAAATAATATTCTGTATAATTGATAGTTTGCGATTTTATTAGAATTGCAGTTTATTTAATTACAATTTACTGCAGTTGACTTTTGTTTGTTAAAGTTCCTAAGATTGTTGGGAAAATTGAAGTTGGTTATGAAAATGTTTTTGTAAATCAAAGGAGGGCCAGCAAAAGAAAATTTGGGAACCACTACGTTAGATTGTCTATTTTTGCTAATTGAGCTCCAAAAATAAAAATCCAATTATGAAGTACGGTGGAGGCAGTATCATGCTGTTGAAGACTTTTCTTCAGTAGGAACAGGCAAGCTTCCCAAAATTTGATCATCCTGTGTTAATGTTTATGGAATGAAATCTGATTTTTTTTTTTTTTTTTTTTACTACACAGGTACCTCTGGCAGAGCTGCTCAGCTACCTGACTGCAGCCAGCGTTTTCCAGATGAACGAGGTGATGGATAAATGCACTCAAGCTCTGTCACAGTACCTTAAACCCAACATATTTTTGGATAAACCTACGAGATGCTTCAAGGAAACTGAAAACTATCAGCTTAAAAGAAGCTGGCTATGCTCCACTTTGGAAAACCAGAGGGAAAAGGATGTGGTCCAGCCCTGCACCAGCATCCAGAAAGATAATGGAAAGGAAGAGGGAGCGGTTCTTATTCAGGCAATGCATGGGGTCAGCCAAGAATCTGAGGTGGACAGTAAGAATATTACAGAGACCATTGAGAACAGGAAGTTTGTAAAAGCTACAACGGAGTCCTCAGAGGATCAAAAATTAGATCTTAACACCTTGAAGTCAGAAGAAAGTGTTGGAAACACAATAGCACACAAGGATGAAGTTTTCCAAGACTTCATTTCCGTCCCAGCTTTTGAGATTAGCGGTACTGTGGATCATACTGTGGGGGATATCTCCCAGATACAGCAAGAGCAGGAGGATAAACAAGATAAAAACAACCATGCACTCAAAACCCAACAGGAACATGGTGGAAATCCGATAGATTTCAAAATATCGTCCCTTTCAAGAGAACACTCAACAAAGACTGCCGAAGATTTAGTAGAGGCCTCTTCACGCACTGTCCAAGTCCAGAGGCCGTACCTCTGCAGGAAGTGTGATAAAATCTTCCAATACCTGGAGAACTACACGGACCACCTGAAGGAACACAGACAGTATTCCTGTTTGGTCTGTGGAGAGGGCTTTTCACAGAGGAGCAAACTGACCCGCCACGTACGCGTTCACCCCGACGTCAAACCCTTCAGGTGCCCGCTGTGCCATGAAACATTCATCCAAAAGGTTTCCTTGCAAGAACACCACCACCTGCACACAGGATGCAAGTATACTATAAAAGAAAGGAGAAATCAGGTTTCAGAGGCCTAAAGACTGAGAGAAATAATGAAACTGGTCTAATGCATGAGCTGGAAGAACAATTTAGGATTCAAGTGAACTTGTTTATGGCAGCTTTCCTGACTTCTATCTCCATTTCAGAAAACTGGAATGGTTTACAGTAATGATTAAGAACAATAACAATAAAGTGAAGGTAGTAATTAACATGCTTCCAAATATTAAAACTGAAGTGAGAGCCTCATATTCTTTAAGGTTTTATCTATTACTCTGTGTTGTGGGTTAAACTACCATTCATTGTCTTCCTGCTTGATATTTCTGAACATCACACTTATTGTAATGACACATTTTACACTGAAATTCAGAAATTCCATTGCAAATTGCACAACATCTATTTATGAATGTTGTACTAATAAAATACAGTATGTTATAATTTTTCTTTCCCTTTTAATATTTTTTTTATATGAAAGGGTTTAATTTAAACAACTTTAGACACTTGAAGTGATCTGGTTTCTCAGAGAAGATTGTCTCACATTCTAATAAAGCTTAAATCTAAGTACAGGTTAAAATTTTATTTTAGACAACCCAAATGAAAAAACATAGAAAATTGTTGTATTGTGCACCTTTCTTTTAATAGCTCAGTCCTGCAAGAGGAAATCTACATAGATCTTCAGATATAGTTTTCATGTTTAGTTTAGGGAGTAAAAATAATTAATTTGTATTTCCAAAATTTAAATCAAGTTATTGTGAACCAAACAAAAACAAGAACTGGAACATAAATAAGAGAACTAACTAAAGAGTTTTAAATGTCTCTTTAAAAAGTTTCATGGCAGGTTATCAGGATGTTACGTATTTTAAATTATTACCATCGGAACTTCATTGCATGGTTAATTTATATGCCACCGCAGGTTCAGAGGAGGCAAAAATTAATTACTACTAATATAAGATAAAAATATGTGAGTTTTTGAATAGTGACAATTCATTTTAATTTAGCCTCCAATAGTCTATCCTTGAGAAGAGGCAGGTCTGAACTTCCTGGACTGGTTGGACAGGGAAAACACTGGCCAAACAAGCATGAAACTTAACCTTTCCCCGGTCAATAGGCAATAAGTGGGGTTCACTCCAGAAAGGGTAGCAGAAAAAAAAACACAGAAATAAAGGTTAATGAATCAGTTTAAACAAATGAACAGATTTGGTTTGTTTGACAATAACTGGGCATTTCTTCAAATAAGCAAGTAACTGAGTCATTATTTAATGCTAAAGTTTATTTTGTTAATCATAATTCTTCTTTTAACTTTTCAAGGGAAAATAAATCAATACACGTGTAAAGATCAAAATAACACATGAAAAATAAATTAATAAGATAAGACATGCATGCTCCATTCAGAAAAGTCCACCTCTGCATGAGGGCCTAACTACTGCCCTGGCATACAGTACAGCCCCAGGACTAAATGATCACAGAAGGACCAGTTCAAGTAATATCCAGGTTGTTGCACAAGCCAAAGAGTTATTGTATGTTTATAAAATATAACAACACATGTAAAATATCGTGTTTATCGCTTATTTGCAGATTACATTATAGGAACAGAGAGGGGAAGTTGTTTATTTCACCTTGACTGTTTATAAGGGCTTTGAAATTGTCTTCTTTATGCTGGATGTAATTGAACATCTAAGAGGGTTTGCATTATCTCTGACCTTCTGCCTTCCTTTTAATGTCTTTTTTTTAGTTTTGTTATCCTGACCCAGGAACATCCTTGTTTACTTTTTAGTTCTCTTATTTTTACAGGTCTCTGGATTCATGAAGCCAAGTGGCAATGCATTTTATTGTGAGACTGAGACTGTTTTAATTATCTGGTTGTTCCTGTGATTTCAGGTCCTGCAGCCTCCCCCTGGAGTGGGTCAGTTGTTTTCATGCACAACAATAAGAACAGAGCTTAGCAGGTCAAAGCAGCAAATTTATCTATGGGATCAGCCATGTCTATTATGAGCAAATAATGTGAAAATGCTGATAGACAGTCTTGCAGAACAGTGAGATGCTAAACACAAACTTAACTGTATTTTATCTTAATTTTATGCGCTAGATCAAGAGGGAAGAATACGTAATTGTAAAAGGGAGAGAAAGGATCCACAATTTTTATTTTTTCTTATGGAAAAAAAAATGAAAAATGTGGTATGAATATGTATAATGACTCTCTCTTTGATTATCCTGAATAAAACACAAATTGCTTAATAAAAATATCTCGTTATGGACATGGAGGTAATTTGTAATGGACAAAAATAGGACCTGATTGTTGTGATCTAACAAGATTGCATAGGCAAAACATTAGACATGTTCTAAGCCATAGAGAGGAAGGTAAAAATAATAGTCACAAAAAAGCAGCAGTAAAAATGGTAAATATTATTCGTAATAGTACCCTATATAAGTGCCTGAAAGTGCTACAAACAAAAGCCTAAGATGAAAATAGCAAAAGTTCAAAATAACTGATAAAATATAAAACCTTCAAAAACATGTCTTTGTCTACTCCTTACGCCCCACCAGCAGAGAATGAGACAAAGTTAAATTTACAGCCAGATAACACTTTAAATAGCAGAAGTACCTTCACCAAATATGCTTGAAAAATCTTGCAAAACAAGATAGAACCATGATAGTATATTAAAACATAACTGTGCCTTATGCAAGGCTTGTAAAACTACACTAAATGAGAGAAAAGGATAAAACCTTATATAATAATAATAATAACTGAACTTTATTGATCTCACATTGGAGAAATTTACCTCTGCATTTTATCCATCCCGTTGGGGTGCAGTGGGCTGCCATTGTGGGAGCAATCGGGGGTTAAGGGTCCTGCTCAGAGACCCAGAGTGGCAGTTTGTGGGAGTATAGACTCTGATGAATGTTTTCTGGTGGTTATTTATTTATTTTATGTTGTAAAAATGCCACAATACTTAAGTTCAGTCATGATGTATTTCATTTCAGATTAATTGAATATAGAGTGTTTACACCAGCTTATGCAAACTTCTCTTTTTACCTCTAATATGATTCTACTATTGTTATTTCTTACAATCCAGATTCCACAAAGCATGTTTTCTGAAAACTTAAAAATCTGAAATCAGGGAAACTGATTTTCCATTTTGCAAAGACGGTTTCCTCAACCTCTGTTTCTGTTACCGTGGTAACATTCTCCCCAGAGCTCACCTGGTCAGCAGCAGGTTTTCCTAGATAAACTTAGTGTCCTCTGTCTCCACCCTATTTAGAGTAAATCAAGTTGTTTTATTTCCTTATTTAGTCAGGAAATCTTTCTTGTAGTTTTGTGCAAAGAACCATTTCATAGGTCATCATCATTCCATTAGATGTTAAAAACATGGCATGTCCTTTTGACGAGGCTCCAATTAAAGTATGAGCAGCATTAATTCACAGAGAATGAGATATTTATAAGGAGATGGTTCTCAGACTGCATATAGATATCTTTCATATTGTTATCTTGATGATCACTACTATTTCACCTCACAATCCATCACATACATACACGACCCAATCCCTCTTCATATTTGCAGCATTACAGATGTTTTTAACATGTATTTAACAGAACTTGAAATCAGTGAGTGAACACTGATGTGTGAAAACAGCATTATAGAAAACAACTGCAAAGTCACAACGCCACTAAGTATTTACTGTCTAATGGAAGACAGAATAAAATGAGGAGGAACCACATGAGAAGATGCATTATAGATACAAAATAGATACATTGATGCACTACCATTGTACCTGTACTCTACCCCCCGTAATGTTAACATGGTTACAACAGGCTTCATATCTAAAATAAACAATGTCCAAAAATTTATATCAGATTTCCATATTCCTACTGTTACTGGTCATAATTTGTAGTATTTTGAATAGAAAGGAATGTATTTCAGGTATATTAAATGCATATTAAGTCAAGTTGATAAATATCAAAACAGCCATTTGGAATATGTAAACATTTCTTGCACATTGACTCAAACTGAATCTGTTGCTCCTTCTTTTAAATCCTTTCTCAATTTTTTTTTCTCCATTCTGCATTAAAATCTATCTCCAGTGGTGTTAAATTCGTACTTCCTGGTGCCTGTTGTCATGGTGACTCATCAAATTGGTCCTCCAGTGATAAAGACTCCTAGGGAACATACTCAGAGTTGATTAAACTAACTCACAGCAGCCTTTTTGAAACCGAAAACTCAGAGTTTACAACCTTAGGCTAGATCAATTCAGAGTTGAGGATTTGAGTCTGAGTTTGTTAAACCTACTTTATGAAAATGGCCCCAGATATGTTCACACGTGCATGGCTGTTGCTGTCCTGTTAACATACCAACACCTACCTTGTGGCCACAAAAACTTTTGATTTTTTGTTTTGTGTGTGAGATTGCAACTGACTTTCAGATGTGCAAAAAAAAAAAAAGACACAAAATTGAGGGCGCAGTCATATTCAGGAAAGATAAATGGCTTTACTGGTGCTAAGTAAATGTGCATATCCTCTGCCTTTAGGCTTTCACAGTTTGGTCATCAGAACAAGATCTAAATATTTATTTAAGCACATGTGTAAGAAAAAATCTGCATCTGCTACTCTATTTTGCACATGCAAAGGTCATTATCCTGTTGCAGAGCACATGACCTGCAACTGAGATCAAGCTTTCAGACACTGGGCAGCACATTTCTCTCTACAATCCCTTGATAGTCCTTAGATTTCACTGAATAATCTAGAGATTGAAAACACCCTGTGCCAGATGAAGCGCAGAATCATGTGAATGACTGTGATCTTGTGTCTCTGCGATGGTCCTCACAGACACTGACCAAATATAGCTGGCTTCTGAGCTGATAAACAATGGCACATTTTTCTTATGCACCCATAGGAAATCAAGCAAGTTTTGAAAATGAATGGAGATAGAGGAGATTTATAATCTACAAGGTCATTATTAAATTAGCAAATAAATTAAATATGATAAATCAAATTACAACATATGTCATATCAAAGTCTTTTACAAAATTGATATATCAAAAAATTATTTCCTAAAAATTCAATACGAGCCAATAGTACAGATACATTTCAGAGACAATTAAATCATTTTCTTGAATAAATGTTTTTTTTTTCTTTTCTTTGTTTTGGCAAAATTCTGTTTGGGTTTCTAAAGCTCAACAGTTCATATAAAAAAAAACAGCATAAAATTAGTCAACTGAAGGCTCCTTTTGTTTCAGTAAAACAGATTTTTTGCTCATAAGTTTGTAAATTTCACGTCTATACCGACTCAAGTGTCCCAAAGGGCCAGAGAACCATTGTAGTTTAGAGGTTTTAGCAAACTAATTGGTTTGCTGATGCCTTGGATACACTCTGGGTCCTTTCAATGTGAGCCTCCATGTTAAGTTGATCACCATGCTTTCCCACAGTTCTTTGCATGATTGTTATGGTTCTCATTTGTTGTGTGTGAGTTTTCAGTTTTCTGTTATCAGTTGTTTTTATTTTCCATGATATTCTAGCATTCTTTGGTTCATCTCTGTTGCCCCCTTGTGATTGTTTTCTTTCCCCTTGGATTCCCTCTTGCCAGTTCCACCCACAACTGCTCCTCATTCAGCGCGTTAGTCCGTCCTTTGTTTGGTTCTCCTTAAATACTCCACCTCTGCAGTCACTCAGTGCTGGTTCCTTCTCGTTGCTGTATTGTCTACTTTGCTCGTCTCTCCCCAGCTCCTCAGACTCGTTTTTCCCCTGATATCTCCATGATCTTGGTTTGTTTAATACTTTAGGTTGGATTTCTGATTTTTGCCTCTAATACCTTTGGTCTACAATTAAACCTCTCAGAACTCATCTCTGCTTCACTCGACTCCGCATCTGGGTCCTCGAGCAACCTCACCACCCATTGTTGACAATGATAAATAGGCACAGCACAGCCTTAATATGTCCACTGTGTGGCAAATGCACACCTTCATATGTTCTGGGTTTTATAATGGAGAGCTTCAGCTATTTGCCACATTTGAGTACCTTTTGTTTTAGGTTTGTAGTTTTATTTTTTTAAAGGCTGTAGTGCAAATTTGACAAACATCACCCATCTGGAGGGCTGAAGGCTGCCCTGTTCAGCACAGCAGCCTGTAGTTCCTTCCTTACCCTGGATATTTTTTTTTTATGTTTACCCCCCGAAGATGAAGGTATAGGAGCTAGGAACACGGGCTACAATTTAATTAATTCAGATGAAGAATCTGGTTCTGGTTTGGAATGCACATTCATAATGGACATTCTGACAAATATAATGGTATACTGGGACTTTGAGCTGTGATGTCAAATCTAGAGTGTGTTTAAAATAAAAATGTATCATTATCACCATTATAAATAAACTTTATCTTTATATAACACCTTTTAGGGCATATATGACGTGTGGTAAACAAAAGAAAATCAATTAATATGGTTACAGTAAGTAAAAGCAATTAAAAAAAAAGTTATATGGTCCACATAAAGTCCACAGACCAATGGCGTAAATATGGGTAAGCAGAGACATCAGTTGCTTACGGGCCCATGGCCTCTTAGGGGCCCCATCACTGACACCTGGGAGGCTCCCTACGCAATCGTAGACTAGGACGTCTCTTAGTAGATGTAATGGTGCAAAAAAAATAATTTTCAACCCACCTGATACTGAAGTGGTTAACCGCACCGGACCGTATTTATACCCCAACACATACCAGATTTCAACATGATGGTGAGCGTTTATAACACGACACCAATAGCAAAGCAGACAGTGGTATTTTTAATTACTATGTTAAAAACTGTGTATAGTTCATTAGATGGTTGGTAAAAAAATACACTCATAAAATATGTTTCAAACCGCAATAAAGATCTTAAAAGCACGATGTATTTGAGTATTTTAGTTTTTACACTACAACTTGGAATTATGGGTAATCCAGAGAGTAGATAAGCTTCTCCGTGAAATGAATAACATGTGGTGGTGCGCTGTCACCAATGAATTGTGATTTGTGATCATATTCTACAGGGAATTTCATAATTGTATCTTCTTGGCCGATTTATGGAACTGTCGCCCTAAACTGAACCTTTATCAGGTGTTGTACTTCATATGGGGCCCACCCACATAATGTTGCTTATGGGCCTATTTTTGTGTTGTTACACCATTACCACAGACCTCAAACTCAAAGAAAGCAAGTTCTAAATGAACTTGCTTCATCTTTAGTGGCATAACCTCAGCGAGTTGCATTGGATATATTGATTTAAAGGAAAATGCTTTTTTTTTTTACATTGGTCCCTTGATTTTACGTTATTACATAGTGTTCTACTCACCCATATGAGTTTTTTGTAATTTCGAGCCGTTCTGCAGATATTCCGGTCGGTTATATCCAAGTAGCATCTTTCCTTTGAGCAACGAGTTGAAGGCACAAACTAAACTGTTCATAATTTATTCTTTATGGTACGCCAGCATTCATAACATGTAGGCAAATCACTGTCCTCCAGACATCCGCGGTTATATTTTTTATATTTATATCTTTTAAAGACAAAGCGGAGTGTGTATGACATAATCTGTGCGCGCCGGCTACCGTTCATTCTTCCTGTCTGCTGAACTGCTGCTACAGTTTACTCACATGCCTGGAAGATATCTAGTGCTACTACCACAGATCATCTCACTCTTGAAATGGAATTTAACGATTCAGATTAGCTTGCTGAATGAATAGAAGGGGTAGAGCGTAGCCGCCTGTGGCCCGGGCTTCCTGTTACGACTCCAGTCCAGCATGTGGATGACGTCATACATGCACCACTTTGTTTTTAAAAGATATAAATATAAAAAATATAACTGCAGATGTCTGGGGGACAGTGATTTGCCTACATGTTATGAATGCTGGCGTACCATAAAGAATAAATTATGAACAGTTTAGTTTGTGCCTTCAACTCGTTGCCCATAGGAAGACTAGGAAGACGTTACTTGGATATAACAAAACGGAATATCTTCAGAACAGCTCCAAATGACACAAGACGTATATAGGTGAGTAGAACATGATGTAATAAAGTAAAATCAAGGGCCAAATAAAAAAAAAAAAACGGCGTTCCAAAGATGTATGCAGCAGCTTTTAATGTTTTTTTTTTTTTTAAGATATTTTAGATTTGAATTTATAGTTAACAGTTAATAACAAAGTTAATAAACCCACACCAAAAAGCAAAGGAAAAAAAACGAATAAATATGCCTTTAATATAGGAAAATGTTCACATTTAGTCCCCATGACTTGTGTCACCCCCCTGCAGTATGCCGCCCTGGGCAGTGAGCCATAGATCTAAATGAATCATTCATTCTCTTCCGCCTATTTATTTCCCTGAACAGCTTTCTGCACAAAAAGCATGCAGAGTTTAATGGCGTGTTGAACTTCCTCCTCGAGGCACACACACACCCACGCTCACCCACACACACACTTGTCAAAGCGCATCCCCTCCACCCCTCCCACTTCTCATGCTGCTGCTGTTCCTGCCTCTCGTCGGCCTGTTTCTTTAAAACCCAGCGAGCCCACGCCTCGAAAAGCGGCTTGTTCCGGCTTTGCCCCTGTGCATCTATTTTATCCTTTCTCATCACATCAAAAATAGTGCCCCTCCGACAGTTACGCACCATCATCTATCAGTATTGGGAGCACAAACAAGCGTCTGTTCCCCGAGGCGCAGGGATGGAATGATGCGTAACGACGCAGCAGCGAACCAGTGCGGCCCGATGCTGCTGCTGGTGGAGCGTCTGAAACGCAGCTCTGGCTCCATCATCACAGGCGGAGCGATACCATCCTCTCCTCTCAGCGTTGGTTTGTGAAGCAGAGTGTGGATCCTAGTACCTGTCACGCACAGAGACAAACACGGAGCAGATTGGACGCCTGCGTGGAGGAGACGCGCTGATATGGTTGCAAAATAAGGAGGCATCCATTTGCTGCAGCTGTTTTTTGTTTGTTTTTTTTGCAACTGATGAAGATCTTTGATGTATGTGGTTGTCCAGGAAATGTTTACTCTGATGCATTGGTTTGAGTGAGGTAAGTGACTCGCAAAACTGAGCGCCACTTTCTCTTGTTGATCATGATGGGTGTTTTGAAATTAGGTTTAAGGCAAAACACCTGCAGCACATTTTCTCAACTGGTGCTGGGGGAGTTTTTTCCCCCCAATTAATATATATTTAGTGAATTAATTCAAAATGTGAATGCAACATGAAACTATAGAAGAGTTGGGGATGGGGATATATAAACTGCAGCTTCCCAATGCTTAGAACAAACTATAAAATACACCAAACAACAACCCCTCTGCTCCCAGAATGAACAATTTAATAACAAACAGGAGCGTGAAATTGAGCAACCTCATCATAAAGTTAAATTTTGCTGCAGCCTACCAGGTTACAGGTTACTGAATAACCAGCTGATCCGCAGCTGCATAAAAGCAACCTCGTATTTTGACACTGTTACACATGATCATCAACATATGCAGACATATGCCCTGCAAAATAGGTTTTAAATCATTAATTTGTGGTTTTTATATGTGCAAAGCAACATTGTTCCACAGTTAAAAACAAGCAAGAAAACATAAAAAGAAAAACAGCAGATAAAATGTAGACTAGTGAATTTGCCATTAGAGTGGTTGATTTTCTGAGTCACATGAGCACCAATTTGTGTTAAACTGTAACTTTTTTACTATTGTTTACATCCTGTTGCCACCTAAACTGCTCAAACTCTTGATATTTACATCAGGGTAAATCTTTTTTTACCCTCAGCCAATCTGTTTTTTTGTGTGTGTGGTTGTAGATGTGGATAGATGTGAGCTTTCAGTCTTGATGTGCTTTGCTTACTCAGATTAGACGGTAGTTAAAGCCTCAGCGTTCCAGTTTTTACTATGATTCTGATTGAAAAAATGCTGTTTACTGTAGGTGGCTGTGTGGGACGATTGAAGAAATTAAAATGCCTTTCCGTGGTATTTATTTCTGAAAGTGGTGAAGGTCTTTACTGATGACAAATATTTTTGACTTTTTAGAAGGATCGGAAGAAGCTCTTACTCCACAAACAGTTTCAAAATGAACAAATCTAGAAAGACATTTACATCTGAAAGATAGACAACTGTGGTCATCACAATACTCAGGTCTTCAGGGACTAGTATTCTGCAACTATTAGATGTGTCCCTTACTGAACACACCTGGATGTAGTGGCCAGTTGTCTCCAGCCCTCCTTGTGGTTTGTTGGATTCAGCTAAGTTGAAGCAGCCTGATTTTAAGGTTGATCTAGGATAGCCTTTGAGGACTGGTTGTGTCTTAGATGTTAAAAACAACTGCCAAACCATAAATCCAAGAGAAGCAGTCTGAATTTAATTTTGCTAACTATGGAACAATGGATAAACATTTGATAAGAGTGTTTAGTTTGCCATGATACCTCTATTTTGTGAATCTAAATAAGGGTTCTGATTGATTCCCTTCATTGAATTTTTTATGGAGTATTATGAAAGTATGAGATATCTAAGGTGGTTTACAGGGTTATCAAATCTAACGATTTCCAGTACAAGAACTATGTTTGCATCCTTTACACAAAGTCAAGTTTGTTTCCAGAAAGACGGGACTAGGGAAAATTAACCCTGCTTGTTGTGATCATAGACAACATATCAAGGCATAGTCGTGGAGAGAGGCGTCTAGTTTTAGGATCTCAGGGTCTCTGTATTGTTTTTGCAGATGATGTAGTTTTGTTGGTTTCTTCAATGTGTGCTCAATCGATGAAATACCAAGACTGGAATCAACTCTTCAGTCTGGTTCTCGACCCGAAAATAGCTTGGAGTCCTTTCTCTGTGTCAAGTGAAGGTATTTTAGGCTTTTGTTTTGTTTCATTCGCTGAAAGGGGTTGTGCAAAGAGCATTGGTAGATGAATACAGGATTAGTTTGCACATTTGTTGGCACTGCTCTGGTCTGTTAGGTTGGAAGACAGAGCTGAGCAGAGAACCAGTCCATGGGTAAACAGAGAACAATAGGTGTCTAGAGACAGATACACTGTTGCAGACAGAGCCTGCTCCCATTCTCCCGCCTGGATAAGTTTGGTTACACTTTGATCGGTGGACACCTGAAGATGACATGATGAGTGTCATGTTAACTTCAGATTTATGGATATAGATGGAGTACCTTACGATAATGCATGCACAGAAATCATATGAGAACTCCATAAGAGTACAATGTCAAACTTTTTCACCACCAGACCAGTTTTTCCTGTGGCATTTTCCACCCTTGGGGTCCCAGATATTGAAAAGTGAAAAGTTATGTTTGTCAAATTTGGACCATCTTTTGCCTTCAGAAATGTCTTAATCCTTTGTGGCATAGATTCAACAAGCTACTGGAAACTTTCCTCAAAGAGTTCGGTCTGTATCGACCTTACAGCATAATGCAGATGCTGCAAATTTGTCAGATTAATCTGTTCCCGTTCCATTACATTCTAAAGATGCTCTATTGGATTGAGATCTGGTGACTGTGGAGGCCATTTGAGTACAGTGAACTGATTGTCACGTCCAAGAAACTGCTTGATGACATGGTGCATTTTTCAGCTGGGTCATAAAGGAATGGAGATGGTCAGCAACAATAATAAGGTAAGCTGTGGCGTTGACATGATGCTCAATTGGTACTAAGGGCCCAAAGAGAGCTAAGAAAATATCCTCCACACCATTAAACCATCATTCTGAACCATTTATACAAGCCAGGATGAATTCATGTTTTTTTTTTTGTTGAAACTAAATTCTGGCCATACCATCCCAAATGTCGCAGCAGAAATCGGGACCCATCAGACCAGGTTTTTTTCATATTGTCCAATTTTGTAGCCCATCCGCCTCAAAGTTCGATGTATTGTTTGTTCAGAGATGCTCTCCTGCATACCTCAGTTGTAAACAGTCCGGCCATTCTCCCCTAAAATCTGACATCAACAATGCATTTGTGCCGGCAGAACTGATTCTCACTAGAGATTTTCTCGTTTTCAGACTAAATGATAAAAAAAAATTAACATAAGTATGTTGCCTGAAAGTTCTTAAGGAATTGGAAAAAAACAAAACAAAACTATAAACCTATTATAAACCTGTATTTATAAAGTAATCACATTTAAACTTGATGAATTGGGAACAAAATACAAAACAAAAGTTATATTCAGACTGACTTAATTAGTTTTGCTTTGTTTCCATTAAGTCACCTGAGCTGCTTTTATGAGCTCTGACAGCTCAGTGTGAAAAACAGCTGATCGCAGCCTGTTCTCTACATCCACTCTGTTCTTCACAACTCAAACATATAAGAATAACTTACTTTTCGGTTGATAAAAGCTTGTTTATTTTTCAAATGGTCCTCACAAAGCAGAACAGATCCCACCCTTTTTTTGTTTTATTACCTAATAGATAAAATATTTTCCTGTACCCATTGCAATGCACTTGCGGACCACTAGGGGTACACATACCCCAGATTGGGAATCTCTGCATTAGATGCTCGGACAATCACCTGATATTGTGTAACCACTATATAGTGCCCTATAAAGCGATTAGGGCGTGCTTTTGGACACAGCATTGGGTTGCTGCCATGTAAATGGCTGATTAAAGATTTACATTAACGAGCAGTTAATAGAGTGCAGTGATACAGGGGCTCATATCTCTATTTAAGGCTCTTGTTATGATTGGCAGTGCATTATTTGTTTTATAGAAACCCTTTTTAACACTTCTGACAGGTGATGAAAATGAAATATATTGAGACATTTCCTGCTTGTGTGGGTGGAAACCTTGTTGAAAATAGTGTTTAGTAGTCTTACTGAGTTTATTTTTATATATAAATTTGAGCCTGTTTTAGGGTGTATAATTAACAGCTTAATAATTTTTTTTAAATGAATTTATATAAAGAGTATGTTTTGTAATTTAAAACCATTTTTGACCATATAAAATCTTATTTTTACAACAATATTGGCAGCATATCCTGATGCAGGTCTCTGCTGTTGTTACAGGGTTACTCACCGGTAACTGTGTCTTCTCACTTTGCTGTGCTGACTTTACAGAAACGCCAAGATGGAGTCGAGGTTAAAATTTTATGACACACTTTCCATTCCTTGACTACTGGCTGCACATACCCCCGGAGTCATTTCAGTACAATCTTGACAGGTCACCCTTTAGGCAAAAATATAAAAACTTAGTTTCAGTTTCATTTTAAGATGTTTGAGAAATGAAAAATTTGTAGTGTTTTTATTTGGTCCCAAAATGAAATACTACACAACTTCTAATATGTCAACATTTGTTTTACCTTGCTTTAAAAATAATAAAGTCTAATTTAATGTATGATATATATTAGGGCTGAAACACTGAGTTAGATTAATCTTGATTCATCGATTATTTAAATAATTGTCAATTTAGAGTCTCTGCACTCGTTAACTGGAGTGTAGAGACTCTAAAACATGTCTTTAGCTGACAGAGAATCCCACTTAGAGCAGTAATTATATGAATAAAGAAATATATATATAAATATTTTGCTTTTAACATTAAAAAACATTCTTGTTTGTCAATATGATCTATCCAGAGCTCCACATGTGGAAAAGTTTCTCCTTTAAAGAATCTTTGACTATCCTATGTTTGACTGAATATTCAATTATCAAAATAATCGTTAACTGCAGTCCCTATACTGTCACCGTTTTGTATTTGTTGGCTCTGCTTAACATTTCTTTTTGAGTTCTCATATATTTAATTTCCTTTTTGTGGTGTTTTCTGGTTGTATTTGAGTTGTTTACCCTCTGTTGCCCTCTTGTGTCAGTCTTCTTCCCATAGCTCCCTTCTAGGGACAGTTCATTACCCCAGTCTTTGTTCTGTTTGACATATATACCCCTCCTCTTCAGTGACTGTTTGCTGGTTCCTCGTTGTTTCTTCATCCTCATGCATATTTTCCCTGACTTCAAATTTTTGGTTTTCTGTATTTTGTTATTTTTGTTGCCACCTTTTTAATTATTAAATCTGCAAGAAACCACTTCAGTTTCCGCCTCTGCATTTGGATCCTTTAAACCTCCAA